ATGAGGACTGATACAATAAAAAGCCGCCAAAATACATGTCGCATTTAAAAACTTCACAGTTATTACGTTGACACGATGTCGGGACACAACTGGCGCACAATCAAATAAGAAAATTCAAAAAAAGTTACCTGAACTGAAAATAAATGGCGTACGCAGCAAGTAACACTAATATCGTTTCGAAAATACTTGAAAATAAAAACTTTTTTATGATGACCGAACAAGCACAATGAACCTAAACTACGGACCCTAACATCACTGTACCAGTAGATTTGTGAGCAAATATTATACGGAGCAAATGCGATAAATAGACATAGAAAATCACCGCACTCGCTGATCACCGGAAATTCATCGAAAGACAAAACATTGAAAAAATTGGACGAAAGAGAGAACAGAGTGATACACTCTCATTGCAGCATCCCACCAACGAAGTTTACCACGTCCCGAAATCGTGCTACAGTCACAATTTATCAAAATTTTTTTGACGAGACAGCAAGAAACAACTACCTGGGGACAGAACTGATGGAAAAAGACAAGAAGATGGTATGGCAATGACTCGTCTGTGGCAGCAAAATGAGAGGTCAAAAGAGCAAATTCTAGCAGAAAACTACGCAAAAAAAAAGCTTTCAATAGCAAGATGTTTGTGCCAGAGAACAGAAATCAGCTCACCGAAGACAATATCAATTCTATTCCTTTTTACCCTTTCAGAGTGGCACTATACAACCCTTTATATTAGGAGTTACATTAATTTCGTTGCCCAATCGATTTTTCTTTGTTTATATTATTACTAATCCAATGTCTCATGCGCTTATTTCTTTTATTTCTGGTTGTTTTGTTTGAGTTTAAAGTTGTAATATTAATATTAAGATTATAAAACGCATTTGAGTTTAAAGTTGTAATATTAATATGAAGATTATAAAATGCATTCATACATTTTAATTTTCTATCCTGATATGATAGAAGCTATGCATTTTTACAGTAAAACATCGCAGCTATTAAAAGAAAAACATACCACTGCTAACCAACAATAACATGAAGTGTGTTTTATTCAGAAAAGCACAGGCAGGGGGAAGAAGATGGGAGACGGAGGCCTGCTCGAGACGGACGGACTACTCAGAAGTCGGATCTTAATAGAGCACCAGCAAAAATACCAACTAGTACAACCGAAAAAAACTGTTCCAAACAAAAAATTGACAGAAATTTTGCAATTTCCTTTACTCGAACTCACAAAATGGTCATGATGCGCTGCGCATCAATGTCTGAGCAACTAGTGTTAGTGGTGGTGGGGGACGTTAGAAAATAGGATGAGGTGAAGCGCTGCTGCAGCGATGGCTGTGTCAGGTCACTTGGGCTGTCCAGGATGAACTCCGAGAGCAGCGAGTCCACTTCGGCAAGACCAAAAAATTTCGTCAGCGTCATATTTTCGATGAGCAACTGTGCCAGTGCCTTTAGTGCTGGCGCAAGCAATAAAATATTCCCGTAACGCGTGGGCGCATCCTCCGGCATCTCCGTCAACACATAACAGTAGAGCGCTTTGAGCACTCGATTACGCGCCTCACGAATTACCTGCAACGCAATTAATCATAGCAAAATACGCTATGGAATAGTGAGCAGAAAACACCAAATACTAATTTTTGCGATAACGCTCCCATTATCACTGAGATCGGGTCACACACTGGGCCATACTTTTTCACATTTACTCGCAAACCCGTAGGTCAGTAAAATACTGGCAAATGCTTCGCACCGTAAATAAGCGGTTCCCATGAGCCCTAAAATTTATAAACAGCAATCTCACTCGACTGAATGAAAAGAGACATTTCATCTTGCTTGCTCAATATACTTCGAAAATTTAACAAACCCAGGCTCGAACGCACCAGGCTCTTCGGTGCGACCATGCGTTTTTGCACCAAACTTGCAGATCGCTATTAGCACGAATGACCCCTACGCTGTAGCCTAACACTTGGGCTAATATTGGCCGTGCCTTGACCCTTA